AACTGGCTTCAAATATGCTAGAAAGAGAGAAAAAAGCATATGAATATGTGTAAATGTCCACAAACCATTAAGGTCATAATTAAACAGAGAGAGAGAAAAGTTCTTGATGAAAAGTTAAAGAACCATTTCTGTTGGAGTTAAAAAAAAATTCTCAGCTTCCCTTCTCAACAGTGGGGTGGGGTGGTCTGGAGTGAGAGAGGTAATCCTGTAGGTGGGGTTTAGCCTAAGTAGGCCCCAGTTTCTTTGCTAAATGCCAAGTGGTCTGGAGATTTTAAATCAGTGCACCTCCACGGCCCAGCAATTGCTGGTCTATGCTGGAAGACAGCATCCCAGGGATCTCCTCTGGGTTCCACTCATGCAGTGGAAGAGCCGATTCTTTGTCCATTCTTGGGTTCATTTTCCAAATGCAGTCTCTCCTGCCCTGCCCTTTTGAATTTCCAGCCAAGTATGTCTCTCCTAGCTGGTCTTGTGAGCAGTTAGAGTGGAGAGGTGGGGGAGAGCCAGGTGGGTTTCCACGACCAGTATTCCCCTGTGTAAAAAACCCCTCTCCATGTTTGATTCTCTCCTGGTCACTTAGGCACACTATGTCATGCAGTGTGGGTTTGCCAGGAATTGGCTCCCCCAGCCATCAGCACATGGCTGCAATATGGTTCTTTCTTCTGTCCTCTGCATGCAGCTGGGAGAGATGTGGCTTCTTTCCTGTACAAGGACATTGTGCCAAAGGTCTTTCAGTTTAGTTGTGTAGTGTTTTCAATCTCTAAACTCTCTGTACCCAGACATGCCTCAGGCCTCCTAAAAATGCTGTTTCCTATCATTTCCTCATCCCTCCACTGTGCTTATAGAGGGCTATTCTGGCTGGTGCCTTGGTGGCACTGGGGTTTTCTTCCTTATTTTACTATATCCAATCTCCTGAGTCCTCTATCTGCTTTCAGTGTCCAGTATTAAATCTTAGAAAGGCCTCCCTCTTTTTTCACCCTCCTTACTGAGAAGCTGCTTATCTGCTTTCTTGGTTTCACACCATGGAGCAGCTAGGAAAGTGACCTTCTCTATTCCACCATCTTGAAACCTCACACTACCAATATATATATATATTTTTTTTGTGGTGCTGGGGATTGAACCCAGAGCCTTGTGCACGTGAAACAAGCATTCTACCAACTGAACTATATCCCCAGCCTAATAAATGGTTTTTAAAGTTTTTTTCTTTGTATTGTTTTAGAGAAAAAATTATTTGTGTAGCTGACAAATAATGGGTTTTGATCTTAGATTTGGCCAGACTTTTTGACTGCTGATACATAATACCTTGATTTTCAATACTACCTTGCTCAGACCTAACTTCTCCTGTAGACTAATGTGTCCTTTGGCTTTGGTCAGCTTTCAATTCCTTAGACATGGTTTTAGATTCCTCTTTACTAGTGATCTAGTGATCAGCTATGCCTTACTTGCCCTATAACAAATCTGAATCTGTATAGTTTGCTAGATCACAGAGAATACATAATCTAGCCATATCACATTAGCTGTTATATGCCACGTTACAAGTTTGGATGTTATTTTGGGAGTAAGTATTTCTGAAACTGTTTTTTTTTTTTTAATAAACAAATTACTCTTAATGCCTCAATTGCTCCTTATCCAACCCCAAAGTCTTTAAGGAAAACTGATACCCCAATAGGATGTTATATATTTGACTTACAGCTTTATGGACCACCTGGCATAATATGATTTTCTGCTGAGATACCTGTACCTCAGCTTGAATAGTACAACTGAAATCCAGGAAGGGCTTTAATTATAAGAACAACAATATTAGTTTTCTTTTTTAGAAATCTCAGCTTGACAGTTCAAATAATATGGGTTGCAGTAGAGTAAGGTGGGAGGTAGACAGGTCAATTAGGAAGCTGTTCCAATAATTCAGGAAAGCGAATCTGAGAACATAATCTAGTGTAGTAGTAGTGTTGGAGAGAGGGAGAGAGAAATGAGAGGATAAGGAAACAAGATATAAAAGGCAAAAAGAACTGGGATCTTTATGAAATAGGAAATATAAAATATTTATCTTTAAGTTCAAAATGTAAGTAGATAAAATTTCTGCTTTTACTAAAGAGTATGAGTAGGGCAGGCTTGCAGATAGTAAATAGTAAGCATAGCAATCAATGTATTTATTTTCAAGTCCTTATAAGAAGTCCATGCTAATATGGATAGTAAGCAGTGAATATATTAAATTGGAGCTCAGAAGAAAGTCTGGAATAAATATTAAATTTGAGAAATGTGACACAAATATAATTATTTGTCAATAAATATCTTGTGTCAGAAATTATTTCAGGCAGTTTGCAATGATACATAAACTATGACACAGAGAAATAAGTTAAAGCTGGAGCAAAAGTAAAAAGAAAAGCAAGGGGAATTTGATCCTGTAATTCCAGGGGCTTGGGAGGGTAAGGCAGAGGATCAGAAGTTAAAGGACAGCCTCAGAAACTCAGTACCTATACAATTTAGGGGGGAAAAAAAGTTGTTACAACATTAGAAAGAAGTTTTAGTAATGTGATAAGGAAGGATATCAAGCCAGATTGTAACTGGCTTAGAATGTAAGAAATGACCAAATGGAGAATCTTGGCTGGGAAGAAAAGAAAACACTTCTCAGGACAGTACTAGGTACTGAACCTAGGGGTGCTTTACCTATGAGCCACATCCCCAGTCCTTTTTACTAAGCAACACTAAGTTGCTTAGGGCCTTGCTAAGTTGTAGACAGGCCTCAAACTTGCGATCTTCCTACCTCAGCCTCCTGAGTTGCTAGAATTATAGGTGTATGCCACCGTGCCTGGCCACAGGACAGTTCTTAACCTGGAATCCAGAGATAGTCTTAAAGGGATTCAGTGTCTGACATTGTATGTGCAATTCTGTAAATACGTAAGAGTGTCCATTTTACTGGCATGCATATCCACAACTTTTGTCACTTTTCAGAGACATGTTACACTTTTCATGAAATCACTAAACTGTTCACCCATGAAGATAATGAGATACATGTTTATCATTAAAAAATGTTTTCTTCATGCATTTTTTCTGATTATTAAAATAATATAAACTTATTGTGAACAAGTGAATCGAATATTATAAATATATAACAAGGAATGGAAGTTCTTTGTATTTTAATGCCTCCAAAGATAACCAATCTAAACACTTTATGCCTGATAGGTGCTGCCGCTCATCTAAAACACCCAAGAAATAATATACTTATTTTACCCTAAAAATCATCTTCATATTCACACCAAACTAAATCACAAATATTAAATTTGAGAAATGATACATTTTTGATATTCAAAATAGATACATCTCTATTACCCATTCACAATCTGTTTTTAAATTTACTACCATTTCGACCCCTAGCCCAATAACATGGGATTTGAAGTTTTAATAGGTTTTAGTAGTTTTGTTCTTATTTTAACTTAATCTTATATCGACACTTATCACAAAGGACTTTTTTAATACCTCAAAAATAATTAATGAATATAAATGAAATCAAGTTTCATAAAGGTCAGAAGCAACACAGAAATAACCTTCAACATTCATGCCTTGACCAGGTCAGAGCTCTCTCTTCTGAGGTATTTAAGTGGCCTAAGAGCTTTCTAAAAAGTTCTAGTTTGTCTGTTTTTTAAAAAAAATATTTATTTTTTATTTGTAGGTGGACACTATTTCTTTATTTCATTTTTATGTGGTGCTGAGGATTGATCTCAAGGCCTCACGAGTGCTAGGTGAGCATTCTACCACTGAGCCACAACCTCAGCCCTAGTCTGTCTCTTAATTGATGACATTTTAAATTGTTTTAGAGTCAAAATTTTACCTTACGTAGATTGCACAGAAAAATATGGACCTCTGCTCATAGTTATAACATTATGCATTTAATTAATAAACATAGTCAGAATAGGCAGGTCCTCAGTGCTTTTAAAGATATGTAAAAAACAATGCATGAAATCTCAATTTCTGCCTCAAAAGGTTACAAAAACAGTGTAGGCAGGTGGAAGATGAATTTTGTGCTGGTTGTGTTTAGGATCTGATTGAGAGAGACATTCAAGTTTGGCCCTTGAAATATTTCCCAAAACAACAATGCTCCTTCTGGTATGGGTAGAAATAAACAACTATTATCGACTCTAGTCCCTTAGCTCTGAAAGAGACGGGCAAAATTGGAAAAAATAAGCCATGTATCTAGGCCACATTCTCCCAAATTTGGTTTCTAATATAGAGGAAATCATTGAACGAAATAACATGGACTCTAATCCTGCTTCTATCATTCATCAATTGTGCAACCTGTGCAAGTTATTCCTCTCTTCAAAGCCTTTTCACATTTGAAAGAAAGTTTTGTTAGCTTAGATTATTTCAGAGTTATGGTGTTTTTAAAGGAAATGAAGAACAACAGGGAACAGGACATTTGCTGGACTCATAAAAGCCTTTAGACCCAACAATTCAAACTCAGGGACTCTTATCACTGAGCTACACCCCCAGCCCTTTTAATTTTTTTTGTAGTACTGGGCATTGAATGTGGCCTTGTGTGTGCTAGGCAGGGGCTCTACTACTGAGCTACATCCTCAGCCCTAATTTATTATTTTGAGATAGGGTCTCCCTAAATTGCTGAAGATTATAAACTTCTTGATCCTCCTGCCTCAGTCTCCTGAGAAGCCCAACCCAACATTTATCTTCAAGGAGATCTACAGCAGAAATTTCCAAGCAACAAAATACACTGTATAACCATGGCTTAGGATATCTGAGTAATTTTCTCTTAAAGCAATTCTTATCAGGGCTGGGCATGGTGGTGCAGGCCTTAATCTCAGGGAGGCTAAAATGGGAGGACTAAATTCAAGGGCAACCTCAGCAATTTAACATAGCCCTAAGCAACTCAGTGAGACAAGTCTCAAATAAAATATAAAAAGACATGGGGATGTGGCTCAGTGGGTTAAATTCCCAGTACCAAAACAAACAAACAAACAAACAGAAACCTCACCCTAGGGTAGTATACTTACCCCCAGATGGCTCTCACAGCAGAAATTCGAACTGATGGAGGTTGTGACTCATGAAGACCACTAACTGTTGCTTGTAGGAACTGCTGGATCAGTTCAGGAGACATAGCAACAGTGAACCGACTGGCAGCCCAAAGTGCCCGACCCAGGAGGAAAGGAGACACTGGGAAAAAGAGCAATTATGGGTTGGACAATGAAAGTTGGGGTTACATACCCTTGTGCCTCCCAACTCCACTCCTTGAATGTCCACAAATAACAGGATGCTACATAATATACACAACTTCTTTGAAAGAAAAAGCATGATCTCATAAAGTAAATGCAAATATGTGACCTATGTTGCGGAATCAATTTCCCAGTTTCACTTCTCACTATTGGCAAAGTAGATCTTGAATATTCTGAAATTTAAAAAAGACTTTACCATTCTAGTTCCCATCCCTAGCTCTCACTATTTATTACCTGCTCTACTCATTTTCTAAATACATTCTCCATTGCCATTTTCTTCCTACTATAACATTGTATCATTATATAGTTCTAATCAGGTCATTTTTCCATTTATAACCCGCCAGTAAATTCCGTACACCAAATAAGACCACCTCAGTCAGCATAGCATTCAAGTCTCCCTACCATCTCCCTTTATGCCTCCTAAACTCAAGCACACATCCTTCCCAGCAACTCACATCTTACTTTGCCACTTTGGTGCTTTACTTATATTATACCAAGCTGGCATATTTTTCTTGTATTCTCTCTTGGGCCAAGATAATCCTGTCTCTGAGCCACTGTGATTGTCCTCAGCTTTCTTACATGTTGTGTATTTTGTTTGGATTCCTATCACTGGGACAAAGATTATAACTTCCTGCCCATTATCACTGCTTGTAAAGACTACACTTATTCAGCCTGTAATAGGGCTTAACTTAGTTACTCATACAAAAATAACTGAGAGGAGCTATTGAAAATATCCTAAGAAATTAGTAAAAGAATTATATAATATTTTATTTACTATCAACCAGAAATTCTCAAAATACAGACGAGGAGCTCCTGGCAACTCCTAAAGTTAAAAACATTTTTTTTCAGCAATATTAAACATTAATTTACCTTTTCACTGTCATTCTTTGATAATGTACAGTGAAGTTTTCCATAGATTATATGATATGTGAGATCATAGGTCTGACAAATGATGAAATGTATACAAGCAGAACGTCCCTGTTTTAATTTTTGATGTATCAAAAAAAAAAAAAAATGTTTTCCTCATTATTATCCTTTTATTTGTCTACTTAGTAGTACACCAGAGCAGAATGCATTTCAATTCATCATACACAAATGGAGTGCAACAATTCAATTTTCTGGTTGAGTACTGTGTAGAGAGACACCATTTGTGCAATCATACATGTACCTAGGATAATGATGTCCATCTCCTCACACCATCTTTCCTACCCTTAAAACCCCTCCCCAACCTCCCCTTTGCCCAATCCAAAGATCCTCCATTCTTCAAGCATGGGATTTTAATTAGGACCCCATTCTTGTGGGTGGGCATGATGGTAGGATTCATTTAAGTATTTTCATATGTGTACATAGGAAAATTATGTTAGATTTATTCTACTGTCTTTCCTATTCCTATCCCTCCTCTTTCTTTTGATCCCCTTTGTCTAATCTACTGAATTCTTGCCCTTCCCCACTTTATTGTGGTTTAGCTTCCACATTACCAGAAAAAAATTTGACCTTGGGTTATCAATAAAACCCACACAAAAATCTCTTGGGGACTGATAATTTTTCAGTATATAAAGGGGTACTGAGACCCAAAAGTTTGGCTAGTTATAGAAAATCTTTTAGCTATAGGCAGGATTCACAAAACGATAAATATCGAGCCTTTTTCAAATGCTGACTATGCTGATGTGTTTGAAAAATCCTGATACTTTCATTTAAATTAAGTCATGGAAAATGCTTACTTACTAGAATGCAAGGCATTCTAGGATACAATGATATATTAGATATGAGTTCTTCTCTCCTCATTAACTACAATATAACAGTGAGGAATGTTTTCAAATTATGTAAGCTATTCCCAGTGCTATCCTATGAACAACAGTCAAGTGATGGATTGAGAAAGGAGCAAATGGCTATGCCAATTATCTAGATATAGTCCAAGAAAATAGTTTGAGAAAAATGACAGGTAACAAACAGGAAGAATGAGCCTGACTGGCATTTTGGACTCATTATTAAATATTTTTTGCTGTAGATGGACACAATACCTTTATTTTATTTACTTTTCTTTCTTTCTTTAGTTGTAGCTGGACAAAATATCTTTATTTATTTATTTTTATGTGGTGCTGAGGATCGAACCCATTACCTCACATGTGCGAGGCAGGAGGTGCTGTACCACTGAGCTACAGCCCCAGCCCCCTATTTATTTATTTATACATGACTGAGCTACAACCCCAACCCCGCATTTGGGACTTATTATTAATGAGAGCAGAACTCAAGCCAGAGTTCTGAAGGCATAACAACCAGATTTGCATTCCATTCAAAATGCCAAAAGCAGCCATGAATGGAAGGGCTAATTTGGGAGGAAAAGCAGCAGTGAATGGAAGAGCTAATTCAAGGGAGGAAAAGCAATGGTAATTAGTCCCTTAGTATGTGAATCCTGAACTCATGTCTCTGGCCTATTTTAGGGGTATGAATTAGTTCAAACTCTAGGGTGCAAGATTTTCATCCAAAGGACATAAAAATGCTTGGCCTACCTATTTAAATAAAATATAAACGAATTGATGATAGGTCTAAAGAGCTTTCAGAATCCTAGACATATTGAAACATACCTGAGAGGTTGAGGTCAGCAAGGATGACATTGGTTAGGAACCCATGCATGTCAAAATGGATCCTGCCATTTTTCACACTGTCCGTGATAATGGACTTCACTGAGCCTAAGGCAAGCATGCAGGCCTCATGGATCTTCCACCTGTGAGAGTAATAGCAGAGCCTGGTAAAACAAACTGCTAAAACCCACAAATATTTGAGAAAGAAGATTCAGAAAAGGGCATTCCAGCAAAATCTGACCCAAAAGGGCAATTTACCTGCCCTTCCAATCTAAATGTTGTTATTAAATTATACTGAAAAGAAAATGAAATTTAATGACAGACCGCCCCCCCGTTAGAAACAATATAAAAGCCCTTCCCTTCAAGGATATTTAAATAGGGATAAAAAAACCAAAAAGCATTTTAACCAATTATTTTATGGTTGGGAAGATCTGCTTTAGAATAGATGACTCAAAGCAAGGATTTGTTTGTCTTGGATCTGAGGCCCCAAACAGGTCCTTAAATTACGTGTTTGTCGCTCACTCTTACCAGTGCTCAGTGCCACTGCTTTTGGTTTGCTCAGCTTCTTGTAAATGCCTAGTGGCTGCTGCAGCCAGAGCTGCTGCACTCTCATTCTGGAAATCTGTGGCCACAGCCTAGGGAAAGAAGAGAAGGGCTAATAAATCTGTGTGTGCAGTCCAAGCATTTTAACTGCAAACTGCTTTAATCAGGACTGTTAGAAATGAATGGTTCAAATTCTTTCACATGTACACACTAAACTCAGATTAGGTGTATTAAAAATGTGACTGCAAGCTGGGCAAAGTGGCGAATGCCTATAATTTCAGCAACTTGGAAGACTGAGGCAGGAGGTTTGAAAGTTTGAGGTCAGGCTGGGCAATTTAGTGAGACCCTGTTTCAAAAAAAAAAAAAAAAAAAAAGTGTGTGTGGGGGGCCTGGGCTGGGGCTTTATTGTAGATCAGTGGTAAAGTGTCCCTGAGTTCAATCCTCCACACCAAAAAAAGTGACTCCATTAGTTTTAAGGGTCTCTAATGGAAATAAAAGAATTTTGTTTGTTTGTTTGTTTGATACTGGAGATTGAACCCAGGAGCATAGTAACCACTGAGTTATATATCCCTGGTCCTTTTCTTAAATCTTGAGACAGAGTCTTACTAAGTTGTTTAGGGAATCGCTAAATTGCTGAGGCTGCCTCAAACTTGTAGCCCTCCTAGCTAAGCTTCCAGATTGCTGGGATTACAGTGATTTGGCTAGGAATTCCTGACTAAGAATACTTATTTTTCTACAGTACATTTTAAGCCTAACTAGTTGCTTCCTTAGGCTATGTTCAGCAGAGCTAAAGTAAGAATGACAGATTCAGCTTTGGATGACAAAGGAGGAGATATTTATTCTCTAGGAACCTAATCACGGAAAGGTTACTCTATTAATTGAAAAAAAGTATAATCCTTCATAGGTGCCTTAAGAAATATTAAGTGTAGTGGCATATGCTTGTAATCTCAGCAACATGGGATGCTGAGGCAGGAGGATTGCAAATTTGAGGCCAGCCTGGGCATCTTAGTAAGACCTTGTCTAAAAAAAGAAAAGAAGTAATTATAAAAAGAGATCTCACCAAGAAACCTCCTACCTAATAGGAAGCAAGTGGCAGTTTCTTCATAGTATTCCAGTCTAGAGAGAACTCCATGCTTTTAGTCAGTAGAGTAGAAGAAAACATAAACAGATGTTTGGATGTCCATCTCAGCATTTTTTGTTTGTTTGTTTGTCAACCTCTGGATTACACTATAGTTTTGACAAAGGCAGCTTAAAGTAAAATAATTTTCCTTATTTGACTACTCTTACTCACTTAGCATGTTATCCTCTACACAATTTTTTTTTCTTTTGTACTAGGGATTGAACCCAGGGACACTTCATCATTGAGTTACTTCTCAGCCCTTTTATTTTATTTTGGGACAAGGTCCTGCAAAGTGCCTAGGTTGGCCTTGAACTTGCCACCTTCCTGCTTCTGCCTCTTCCAGAGTTGCTGAGATTACTCGCATATGTCACTGCACCCAGCATCCTCTGCCAATTCTTATATCTAATATCTACTGGTGAATCAGAACTAGTAGAAACAATTTTGGAATTTCTGAGTCTCAAGCTTCATTTGAAAAGCTCTCTTGTATTCACAAAAATGTCTGAGATAAAGCTGCTCAACAGTACTGCTCACCTTGGGTTAGATGTCTAGGAAGAGGAGAAAACCCTCAAGTGACGGAGGAGGATTATTTGGTTGAAGTATCAAGGTGACTCTCTTACCAGCAATAGGTCTTGAGCTGCAATTCTAACAGTATAGGAGAAAGTATCATCATCTTCATCTTCTACAAACTGCTGGGGGTTGGCTGTCCACACTTTAATCTGAAAAGATAATAAAATTATGTTTTCGTTGGGCTACCAATCTGGTTCACATGTTCCTTCTTTTCATCAACAAACATATGAAGACTTTAGCCTATTACTTAACAAAATTATAAGCCTCAAAAAGTCTTTTTTTAAGAGAAACAAATTCTTACATTCAAGGTTTGTAGCAATGGCTACTGCTCTCTACCAGATCTCATTTTAGAATTTGGGAGATTACTTGCTGTTATTGCCACTTAGCTATTATTCTTTGATAAGTCAGTTTCTTGAATATAATAGGTCTGATGGGATATTGAATATAAAAATCATGTCAATTTTTGTGCTGTTTTCGATGAGAGGTATTATCTTATTCTTCAATGCTTCCCCCCCAACTCCCAGTTTTAAAGACCAACAGGTGAATAATCTGATTACTACTTTCTATTATTTATATTGAAAGAGCAGTTTCTCCTAGATACCAGGATCTTTGGTTTAGTGGTTTTTACAGAGATTTTCCTAATGCAAAAAGTGTTCAGAAAGCCCAATTACCTAATATAGGAATTGATTAAAAACTCCTCAATACCCAAGGATTTGGCAATAAAATGATGTCAAAACTTTCCCAGAACTTCACATGAAGTTATTCTCTTAGTGTCTATCTTTAGAAAGAAAGCATTTCCTTGATCAAGGCCTGCATTCACCAAAAAGCTGCACTTTCCAAATGCCTGCTGGTAACTTTCTTCCAAGTATTATTTACCTGCTCCTCAGTGATTTGCATGTATAGAATAATATAGTAAATCAACTCAGGCAAAGCTTTCTTAACAGTGCTTTTGAATTTGCTATTTTCTAGGAGGGCATGGACAAATTCAAAAATACTAAAGACGAGATTTTCAAAGCCCAGGACTTCACCTATAGGAAATACACAAGAGAAGAAGTTAGTGATAAGAAAGCAAAAGAAAAGCACATATACTGGAAATCAACTACATTATCTTTGTAAATTAAGAAATATTGCAAGCAGTTGCCAGTTCCTAAGGGAATTGGTAGAAGAGGCTAAAGAGTCAAAGAACTTTGAGGATTTCAAATATCCTTTGGTTTTTCAAGTAAAAAATACTGGTGAATCAAATATTTTTTTTTAAATTTTTTTTAATATTTATTTTTTAGTTTTCGGTGGACACAACATCTCTCTTTGTATGTGGTGCTGAGGATCGGGCCGCACGCATGCCAGGCGAGCGTGCTACCTCCCAAGCCACCTCCCCAGCCCACGGTGAATCAAATATTAAAACAGAAATGAAAATATCATCATCTGGACTTCAAAATTAAACTAAACAAAACACCAGAAGTAGCTGGATTAAATGACTTTTAAGGTATCTCTTCCAAACTCAGAAATTCTATGACTTTATATGATTTTCGCAAATGCCTATGAAGAACAGATTAAAGATCGTCAATTTTTCAATTCTTCACATCTAAAAACTGAAAGGAAACTCTATTAGAAAACTCACTTAGAAGAGTGAAGCTTCTAAGTTACTGCTTTTTTCTTTCTCTTTTTTCTTTTTCCAGATCCCTTTTCTCAATAACTGATAATTCTGTCAAGATCAAATAAACTACATACCATCAGAATCCACGGGATCTTCTACTTCCTCTGTGTAATTCACTTCAGTCCTCACATAAGTATGATGAAGAGTAAAGAAATAGAATTTGGAGTCTGCTTTACATATATTCTACAAGAGAATGCTGTATATTCCAACACTAGGAGTGGACACTTAAAAGTAGAGCCCCATGAATATGAGACCCAAGGCTAGATTCCCAACTATAGGTGGTAGCGGGTTCCTTAAACTTTCATGAAAGGATATAAAGCTGCACTCTCCGTTAGGGTGTTCCAAACAATAGGCAGAATCTGCTGCATGGAGGACACCATGTGTTTTGGGAAGTTTTTTACCAGGGCTGTCACTGCCTGAAGTTAAGAGAAAACACCCAAGAGTGACATAGGAGAAATCAATGATTTCAGACTATCAAGCTCCAAATCTCATAGGCAGTAAATGCTTACCTTTAGGACCTCCATCTTAAACCCACTGTCTGATGTGGGGCCATCTGGTATCTGGAGGGCCTGAACAAAGGCCTCTGTGAACTGTTGCACCACTGGAAAGATCAGAACTTTGGCTGCACCCTGATAACAAAAATCAAAATCAATGCTGACAAACCTCTAATGGATGGTATCAATAACCACATCAAAAAGGGAGACTTAAGGTATCTAAAGCTCTAGTTAGGCTGAGGGAGGAGGATTGTAAGTTTGAGGCCAGGCTAGGCAACTCAGTGAGACCCTGTCTCAAAATGAAAAATAAAAGGGCTGTGTGTAGCTCAATGGTACAGCACACCTGGATTTGATCCCCAGTACCACTAATTAGAAAGGTATAGGTATCAAGTCATTGGAGGTTGTTTTTCAGTATTTCATGTTTTCTTAACTACTACTTGTAGTTCTTCCTCACATCCCTACTAAAAGCTATTATATAAGGCCACCTTTTCATAACAGCTTCTTTTTTAAAAAAAATTGTTCTTTTTAGTTATATATGACAGTACAATGTATTTTGATTTTTTTTTTTTTAAGAGAGGCAGGGGAGATTTTAATATTTATTTTTTAGTTTTCGGTGGACACAACATCTTTGTTTGTATGTGGTGCTGAGGATCAAACCCGGGCCGCACGCATGCCAGGCGAGCACGCTACTGCTTGAGCCACATGCTCAGCCCAGTACAATGTATTTTGAACTAGTGCTTTTTTAAAAAGATATTTTTAGTTGTAGATGAACACAATATTTTTATTTATTTTTATGTGGTGCTGAGGACTGATCCCAGTGCCTCAAACATGCTTGGCAAGTATTCTACCACTGAGCTACAACCCTAGCCCCGTAACTGCTTCTTGAATTCTCTTGATCAGTATTTACAGCTAGCTTTGTTTCATAAGAGGATCATTAAATGTAGAAAAGTTCTAGGATATCTAATATGAAAAGGATATAGGGTAAAGTATTTAAAGAAATAAGACTGAAACAAAAGGAAACTAATCTATAAATTTAAAAATTTAATTCAAATGTTAAATCTATCTAGCATATTGGTTAGTGTGCTTTCTAATTCTGGTATCATGAAATGAGACACTGCTTTGAAAGGCATTAACTAATTATGTTCTATCATCCTATACACAGAACACATATTAAATCGCTCAATTTAAGTTTTTATAGGTATCCTACATATAGGATGATGGGACACAATGGATTAATAAAAACTTAAACATAAGCATGAAATATGTTATTTACCAAAGGCTCACTTACCTTTTCTAGCTCCTCCATGTTACAGATCATATGGGCACAAGTGGTAAAAATCTCCACAGCTCGGGAACGGGTTCGAATACCATATACCTGGGAAAGCAGACATGAGATTGGAATATAATGAGGTGTGAACCTATGACTAGAAGTAAAACTATCAATCCTTACATCAGATTGGATCCCCTGGACAGATAGGAAATATTATTGTTCATATCTGAGACAGACATTTACAATTAAGAATCATAATGTTAGAACTTATTATAATTAACATTTTATGTAAGCCTCTGTGGACTGATCTGGTTAAAAATATCAAGCTGTATAATTTTAAAATCCTAACATGGCCAATATATTTCTTTTTTTAAATATTTATTTTTTAGTTTTAGGTGGACACAATGTGGTGCTGAGGATTGAACCCAGCGCCTCATGTATGCCAGGTGAACACTCGACCACTGAGCCACAATCCAAGCCCCACCAATGTATTCTTTCTTTCTTTTTTAAAAAATTAATTAACTAATTAATTTTAAATTTTATTTATTTCTTACATACATGACAATAGTGGATTGCATTACACTCATAATTATCCATTCACAGCACAATTTTTTGTAACTCTGTATATAAAGTATGTTCACATCAAATTATGCCATTATACATGAGCTCTCTTTTTTTGCATTACAAATCTTGATACATTTTTATAACACAATTTATCAAGCCCCACCAAAGTATTTCTTTTTCCTTTTTTAAAAAAATATATATTTTTTAAGCTGTTGATAGACCTTTATTTTATTTATATATTTAATGTGGTGCTGAGAATCGAAGCCAGTGCCTCACACATGCCAGGCAAGTGCTCTACTGCTGAGCCCCAGCACCAGCCCCTCTTTGTTTTTTTGTTTTGTTTTGTTTTTAGTGGTGCTTGGGGATTGAGCCCAGAGCCTGGCACATGCTCTATCAACTGAGCTACATCCTTAGTCCTCAGTGTGTTAATATGCACACTGTGGTTGAGGGCAGGAGGACAGGGTTAAAACATTATACACTAGGCATTCAATCTTCCTGTGAATGAGTTACCATTCATATACACATTGATCAAATACACATACACACACACACACACACACACACACACACACACACACACACACCCTGAGTATATTAAGGACCTATTTATGCAGTGAAGTTATAAGACTACTTCTAAGTTCTTAGCTGAGGTAGGCAAACTTAGGTAGAATACCTCAATGGGAGGTATCAATAAAGATACTAAATACTTAGAAATGAGCTAAGTATTTAGTAAGTATTTCAGTGATTTCATTGTTTTATCAAAAGACTACCCTTGTAGTTGTGAGTGAAAAGTCTATGGTTAATCTAGATTCTGATCCAGATGGTTGTCAGTTCCAGTCTTCAGGTATATCAGTGAAATACACCATAAACTCCCATCTGAGAGGCAGAGCTGATCAGAGCCTGAACAGCCCTTTTTTTTCTGAAATCATGAAGCTGAGATTTCATACCTCAGCCATGGTGAAGATCTTATACATCTCTGGAAGAATGACAGGAGCAACCAGTGGCATTTGTGTGTCTGTCACCTCTCGAGTGAACTCTATAAAGAAAAAAGTACTGTAAAAAAAAAAAATTAACTGCTCATAAAGATATTAAGTGTGGAAATTTCCAAACTGTTTCCATATAGCGGTTCCTATTCAGCACACAAATAAGGACATTGGCCTGGTGGCCTTAACTAGGGAAGAAAAGCAGAGAGAATTACTGATTATTTGTTAGAAGAAGAAGAAAGAACAATATGGCCTTAAGGAAAATGAGATTAAGAAGGAAACCTTAATATAAATATTAAAAGGAAATCTGAAAGAGAACTGCATAAAAGTCTTTATGAAGTTAACCAGAAAATTCTGTATTAGTTTGTGTCCACCTGTCAACATTCAGGTGCACTTTGAGGTCTCTTTGTTTCTCTTTTTAGTTTTTTCCCTTGGCAAGTTGTTCTGATGCACATAATAAAGTATGTTCAGATTTACTAGGCTTCAACTCCATTCTTTTAAAACATATAGTAGAATAAGACTTGAAGAAGGTAAGGGAAGTATGAGTCAGCTTTTTCTTTACTTTGAAAAACAAAAACCAAAAAATTATAACATACACAATGCACTAAGACAGCATAAAGGACCCTGGATTTCATGTTACTAAGTGGTATAATAAAATATAAGCCCTTGAGTTCCAATAAATGTTCACTTTATCTGATGATTTTCCAAATTATTACTATTAAAATGAAGCTAATATTTGGAAAACATTTGAGAAGCCAGTTCAGGTAATTTAGTGAGACCTTGCCTCAAAATAAAAAAGAAAAAGGGGTGAGGGATATAGCTCAGTGATAGAGCACCCCTGGATTCAATCCCCAGTACAACATATACACACTAATAAGCTTTATGAAAAATGTAGTACGACTTAATCCTACTAATAAAGTGACTTACTACATTTTTTCTCTCCCAGTAGTCTCAATTTATTTATACTGTATAGGTTTAAGTTAAAAATAATTTTTTTCTGAGGTCATTCAGCAAGTCAGGAAAACTCTGGGACACCTACAACACCTTGATTTCCAAACTTACTTGAGACTAAAGAAAACGTTTTAGTTTGTTGATCAAATATTTCAATTCTTTGCCAATATGTTTGCATTTCCTTCAAACCATAAAACTTAGTTCTCTTCCTACTTTTTTGGTGGTACTATGATTGAACCCATGGGTGCTATACACTTGAGATACATCATATATATATATATAGTTGTAGATAGACACAATACCTTTATATATTTATTTTCCATGTGGTGCTAAGGATCAAACCCAGTGCCTCACATGTGGTAGGCAAGTGTTCTACCACTGAGCTACAGCCCTAGACCTCCAGTCCTTTGTATTTTGAGACAAGTTTTCACTAAGTTGCACAGATGGGGCTAGAACGTAAGATTCTTCTAATTTGGCTCCCTGAGTAGCTGAGATTATAAGTGTGTACCACTGCACCTGAGATTAATTCTCTTTCATAAATGGATAAATTATTGAGAAGCCTGTTTGTAGTTCTACCTACTTGGAAGGCTAAAGGAGGAGGATTACTTGAGAACAGGGAAACAGAGCAAGACCCCACCTCAAAAAAATCCAAACCAAACCTAAACCAAACAGTACCAATAACAAGAAACAAACATCCTGAGAGAATCAGTCCCATTCTCTATCCATATACTAATGTCCTTCTATCTTTATGCATGCCTGAGTTTCTGCTGTTGGAACTTATACAGTCTACCCTCTTTTGCAAATATTTGGAGCACTGATTTGGGAATGAATATTGGCTGCAATCCATTCCATGTCTGATGACTCCATTTCAAAAGTATAAAAATTTCCCTACCAGTTCTTTCCCTTGGCCGATAGAAAAGTGATCTCATTGTACAGTAATTTCCTTAAAGTATAAGAAAGGCTCTTCAGCATTCCAATCAGGATAAATGTAAAACCATCCTTTTTCTTTGGGTCTGTCAGAAGCTGAAATTTATGATGGAAAATTAGAAGGGAACAGTCTTCCTTTCCATGGTAGAAAATACATGTTAACTGATAACCTGATGTTATAAATAAAGAATCCTAAAAGTCTGCCACTGTGGCTCAGAGTGCTTGCCTAGCAATGTGTGAGGCACTGGGTTAGATTCTCAGCACCACTTATAAATAAATGAAATAAAGGTTCGTTGATTTAAAAAAAAAAAAGTCTAATTCCATGAGGAGGAGTGTGAGAAGTCACCTGAATAATGAATCATAAAGGACCAGCATGGGAAATAAGGGAAGTAAAAATCTGAGCAAGGAACATTTTGATCTTTTTGGTAAGTCTGTTTTGTATCTGAGCTAAAATCTAAAGCTTTGTTGCAAGCAATCAATAAGAATACAATGGGTAGTTCAAAAAGGCAGCTGGAAGCCAGTGGTGGGGGTGGCACAGGCCTATAATTATAGCTATTAGGGACATTGAGGCAGGAGGATCATCAGTTTAATGCCAGCCTGGGCAACATGGCAATTTTTTTCCCTTCCCCTTTCTCAACAAAGAAAGAAGGGGAGGGGGAAGGCAGCTGGAGCATGAGAAGAGGGAGTTTTGAAAATAGTTTTGAAATAGATTTGCCTTTGATATGGAATTGATATTATCTATTATCTACCATTAATATCACATGAAATAGTAAAATTCAGCTTAGATGCCATTTGTTAAACTGAGATTCAAAGGGTGAATCTGGCAATTATAACCAGGTAAGAATACATTTCAGGTAAGTTGGCAAGTCACAGAGAAACAGATAAGATATAGATGGGATTTCCACGAACTTGTAGAACAGGGGAAGGGCGATTTCTAACAGATGAGTACAAGATGGTGATAAGAATTTCTTTAAAGATTTCTAAGTGACTTCATTTAGTAAACTGGAAGCAGTGTAGAAATTGCAAAAGATTGAGAAACTTGGGCCACACCTTAGGATATATGAAAGTAGGTTCTGGGAGGAACTGACAGATTAATCAGAAGAGATATCCACCAAATCTCCCTGGAGTAAAAGCTGAAGATCAACCTCTTAGAAAGGAAAAAGGGAAGAGACTAAAGATTACATATTCCCTGAAATGGCTAACTGACAGGATTATATACACACATTTTTAAAAAATTTCTTAAATTTCTATAAGAAAATCCGATTTGACATGTCTTTTTTTTTTTTTTCTTCTCTTTTTTTGGTAGTGCTGGGGATCAATCTGAGGCCTCACACATGCTAGGCAAAAAGTTCTATCACTAACCACATCCCTGGCCCTATTTGACTATTCTAAACTTTGTCTTGGCTGCACTAAGCAATAAAACATAAGCCCTTGAGTTCACTTTTACCTGATGGTTTTCCACATTATCACTATAAAAATGAAGTTAATCAATTGAGAATATACAATTGGCTAAATGGAAAATAATACATATTAATAATGATAAATCATAATGACTAAAACTTGCTGAGTGCTTACCACATGTTGGTTACTGTGCTAGACAATTTACAAAGATTAGTTCATTTAAACTACTAAATGCTCCTTCAGATAGACACTATTAGCCTCTTAATTTTATATACAAGGAGACTCAGGTTCAAAGAAGCTACATGCCATGTGAAGAGTAAAAGTCAAGGTGAAGCCAGAATATGAACCTCAAATCTGACTGCTTAATCACCATGCTATTCCTGTATCCTTTCTGACGGTTTCAAACTCAGGTCCTTGTGCATAGTAGGCAAGTGTTCTACCTCTGAGCTATACCTCCAGCTTCCTATATCCTTAAGTGGTAAGGTTTGGTAGTAGACATAGTACTATGCCAACTTAATTCTCTAGAAAGAACCAATGGAGCTGGAGGGTAGATGTAGAAATAAAAACTAGGAAAGGAATAGCACTCATAAAAAACTAGAGGAAAGTAGTAGCATTTGTAGCAAATTCTTCTGATCTTGGCTACTCTATCATATAGCTTCTTGTAAGTGTTCCTGTCACTTGGAATCCAAGTACCAATACCAGGAAAAGGCTTCTGGTACCTGTCAGCACACGCATGGCTCCATGGACGGCATTTAAGTCTCCGCTCACCAACATCTCCATGAGCAGGTTGAAGAGTTGGGGCCAGGCTTCCGGCCAGTCCCAGTGAGCAATGGCTGACACTGCATAGGCCACACTGGAGCGCACTTTGCTTATCGATTCTCTCAACCCATTGGGCAACAGCTCCCGGATAACAATTTTTGCCTGTAGAGGAGGAAAGTCCACTTGCAATTAGATCAGGTTATAGGTGATCAGCAGAGCCCAGTCCAGTTTGGAACTGTTAGAAAAAAATATAAAAACTGCATAGCTGTAGAAAACTCCAACACGTAAACTTGACAAATAATTCATTCAGAGAGTTCACCTGTGATTTCTAAACTTATGGTGTCCATTATAGTAGCCATTAGCTACATGTGGCCATTTCAATTAAAATTAAATAAAATTAAAAATTCAGTTTTTCACTTCAAGTAGGAAGTATTTAATTTTGTTTTATTTATTTATTTATGACCCTGGGGATTGAACCCAGGGGTGCTCTATCACTGAGCTACATCCCCATCCCTTTTTTTTTCTTTCGACACAGGGTCTCACTAAATTGCCCAGCCTGGAATCATACTTGTGATCCTCCTGCCTCAGCCTCTCAAGTTGCTGGGATTATAGGCCTGTGCCACCACACCTGTCAGCCATATTTGAAGTGCTCAGTAGCTAAGTAGCTCTTATGTTGGACATCACAGATAGAAAAACATTTCTATAACTGCAGAAGATTCCAGCAGCCTTTGTGTCTCTACAATTTGTATCTCAATACTTTTGGGGGCACAGAATATTTGCAGAGCACTACACAAAGCAGAAACATTATTTTATTTTCAAGCTCTCTGAAATTGGCATTATAATTCTAATTTTAGAGATTTAGTAAATTGAGGCTTAGTAGTTAAGTATGTTTCCAATTTTTTATCTCACAGATTGTAAAGGGCAAAACTGGCATTTGAACAAAGGCCAGCCTGATACTTGAGTTCTCTTATCTACAGCATTGTGGCCCCCCGAATGCCAGCCACCAATCTCCTTTTCTACTTAAGTCTTTTGATCACTCCATGTTGTCAACGAATGTTGACAATCTCTTATGATGGCTACTCAAATATCTGTCTACAGACTACTCAAGTAACTGTTCTTACCCTTTCTGTAGTTTCAGGAGGCCTAAACTTTTCTGATTGGGCACACCAGTGAGTTTCCACATATTGTTTCAAGATGACTGATGCTAGCTGTGAAGAGAATAAGCCAAGAAGTGCATTAAGAAAAAGACTTTTCATACATATCATATACATGGCTTTATACATTTGAATCATATCTAAATCTAAATCATAGATTATTTAAATTGGCCTTATTCTTTCTCTTTCCCATAAGAAAGTTTCATTACTAAGTAAAGGATGTTACTTGTAAATCATTTCAGTCTGGACTCACCTGACGGATTGCCAGTGCTCCCTGGGGATCTACAGTCAGCTCTGCCAAGTGAACACCAAATTCTGAAAGAGAAAACTTTAGTTTGAGTCTAAGAACATCCAAGAAAGCCACAGCAATTTACCAAGCTCTAATAGTGATACCAATAAGAAAGATTTCAGAAAGAAACTTGATCCATTGCTTCTGAAAGTGCTGATAATTGCTAAGACTGATTGCTTCAAATAAGAGAAACAAGTTGGCCTGTAGGTCATGGTTTGTTACAATTTAAAGTTCTAGTACCTTTTCATTTATTCCAATTATTGCACAGTAAAATCTAGCTATTCCCCCTACCCTGCCCTCAGGCACAAGGGACTGAACCCAGGAGCACTTTACTACTGAGCTACATCTTCATTCCTTTTAAATTTGATACAGGGTCTCACTATGATGTTGAGGCTGGTCTCAAACTTGTTCTCCTCCTGCTTCAGTCTCCTGAGTCGTTGGGGTTATAGGCATGTACCACTATAACTGACTCTTCTAGTTATCTTCCTTTTCAAAACCATAACATTTTTCTCTTGTCAAAGAACGTAGTAGCTAATTAAAAACTGTAATTTTCTAACCCCACCAACTTAAAAGGTGAGCTTTCAGGAGTTGTCCAGATATATTCTTTTTATAATTTAAAAAAGTTTTTTAGCTGTAGTCAGATGCAATACCTTTATTTATTTATTTTTATGTAGTGCTGAGGACTGAACCCAGGGACTTGCACGTGCTAGGTGAGTACTCTACTGCTGAGCCACAACATCAGTCCATGTCCAGATATATTCTACCAATACATTATCAAGTCCAAGAAAACCTGGCATCAAGAGCTTAGTCCTAAAAATATAAGTGCTGCAAATGAAGTTTCTAATAAGTATGTAAACAATAATCTTGAACTGCATATTGAGAGCCTCTAAACAACTTTTACTCCAAACCAAAATATAGATCTAATTTACACTGCAAAAGGAATAAACTATCAAATATTTATTTATGAAAAGAGGAAGAAGAATGTAATATAAAGAGCACATCATAATTTCCACATCTCACAATCTAGGACTGCACTATCCAATATAGTATCCATCAGTCATAAAGGTTAAGTACTTGAAATGGTGGCTGGTGAGAACTGAGATGGCTGTAAATGTAAAAATACACACGAGATTCCAAACTCAGCATAAAAATAAAAGCAAAATACCTTAATAATTTTTATATTGATTATATACTGAAATAATACTTTGCATACACCTGGTTAAATGAACATAGTATTAAGAATTAAGTTTATCTGTTTCTTTTTATCTATTTTAATATAGTTACTAGGAAATTTAAAATTTCACATTTGCCTTATATTTCTATTGGACAGCACTGGGCTAGATTGGATACATTAATCTATGGCTGCCATCAAATGGGAAAAAGGAGTCTGCTGTTACCTCTAATTTGGAGGAAGATATAGATTAGTGTAGTTAAGAGTATAAGCTCTGGATTTTGGCAAGTTTAGGTTCAAATCCTGAAACTACCTTGTTTGTCCTCAGTTTGCTTATCCACAAATTAAGAATAATGGTATCTAGCTGGGTACAGTGGTGCACACTGTAATCCCAGTAACATGGGAGGCTGAGGCAAGAGGATCATAAGTTTAAAGCCAGCCTCAGCAACTTAGCAAAAGCCTATCTCAAAATAAAAATAAAAGGCTATGGGTATAGCTTAGTGGTAGAATGCCTCTGGGTCCAATCCTGGTACCAAAAAAAAAAAGTTTCTTTCTCTCTTTATATACATATATCAAGCAATTCTGTGAGAATTGAATGAGACCATGCATGTAAAATATTTAGCACAATACCTAACACATAATAAAAACTTGAAGAAAAAGTTATCTTGCTATTATTTTTATTGCCCACCACTAGTACACTGTTTGACTTTCCTATGTGTAACTAAAGTTACTTTTCATGTAAAGTTCTATAGCTGGATTCTACTGGAATAGTCATCCAAAGGGCATTTATTCCAAAGAAAAGCTTAACATCAAAAAAGAGTTAGCTGGTGTGGTGGCATATGCCTGGGATCCCAGCAGCTTGGGAGGCCGAGGCAGGAGGATCCTGAATTTAAAGCCAGCCTCAGCAATGGTGAAGTAGACCCTGTCAGAGAGACCCTATCTCTAAATAAAACACAAAAAATAGTGCTGGGGATGTGGTTCAGTGGTTGAGTGCCCCTGAATTCAATTCCTGGAACCAAAAAGAGTTATTAGCCAGCCCTAGTGGCCACAGGTCTGTAATCTCAGTAATTTGGGAAGCTGAGGCAGAAGGACTGCCAAGTTTGAGACCAGCCTCAGCAAATAAGTGAGGCCCTAAGCAACTCAGCAAGACCCTGTCTCTAAATAAAAATAAAAAGAGCTGGGGATATGGTCAGTAGTACAAAAACAACAACAACAAAAAATTATTAGACACAATGTTTCATGTTCAAAATCTTATTAAGGAATCAGGTTAAAACTACTCAGTTGGGCTAGGAATGTAGCTCAGTTGGTAGAGTGCCTGCCTCACATGCACAAGACCCTGGGTTCAATCCCAAACACTGCCAAAAACAAAAACAAAAACAACCCACCACCACCAAAAAAAAAAAAAAAAAAACCAAACAATCTAACAACAACAACAAAAAAACTACTCAGTTATTTATGCCCATATTTTAAAAAGTGTTTTATTTTGAAATAATTTTAGATTCACAAAAAGCTAAAAGGTAACACACACAAGTTCATGAATAGTTCATTAATATTCTCTACCAATAAGCCCCTTATCTACCTGTGGATCAATGATTAAAACCTAGGAAACTAATACGGGTACAATATTATTAACTAAACTAGACTTTATACAAACTTCAAATTCCAGGATCCCACATTGTGTTTGGTTGTTAATGTCTCCTAAATTTCCTCAAAGAGTGTAACACTTCCCCATTTTCTTCTTTGTTCCTTATAACCCAGACACTTTCAATTAGTTACTTTGTAGAGAGTTGTCTCAATTTGGGTTTAACTGAAGTTTCCTCATATTTAGATTAAGATTATACATTTTTGGCAAGAATATCAGAAAGTGATGCTACTCTCAGTATTTCATATCAGGGAGTACATAATGTTATTACTGGTACTGTTCACTTTCATTACTTGGCAAGGTTGGGTCTGCCACATGAAGACCAGGCAAACTTTACACATAGATTCTGTCACAGCTTGGGCTCCCTTTGTCAGCAACTAGAGAGAACTTCAAGTCTAATTGCTCTTTGCAGAAGAAAAACTTTGCATGAATATAGTTTTTCCATGTAAGAAATTCAGAAATACTTAATCTATTCTAATACATAAGTCTATTTTAGTGCTACCAGAGGAAGGCAGAAGTTTGGTGATGATTACAGAGTTGAGATTTCTTTAATACAGTCATAAATTAATCATGTCTGATACCTATCAAAGACCACACACACGACAAATTTCGCTAACCATCTTGTTTCACACATCTCTTGAGACTGTGAAGGATGTGAGAATAGGAGAACATCATAAGATTAAGACCCACATGGGGGCCAGAAGCCTAAGTCAATTACAAGTCTGTACCTACAAGTAGTTTAAGATGACTTTTCTCCAAAAGTTTATTTTCTTTATATAAGAAAGAAGCTTGAAAGTTTAAATAACATGAATGTCTGCTTAAAAGCCTGACTGGGAAAAAAAAAAATCTTTGAAGAATATCATCACTGATAATTACAACGAATTTTAAGATAAAATGAACAGAGTAAACCAGGCTCAGTAGTGCATGCCTATAATCCTAGCAATTCAGGAAACCAAGACAGGAGGATTAAAAATTCAAGGCCAACTTCAGCAATTTACCAAGACGCTGTCTTGAAATTGAAAAGAAAAAGGGCTAGGACATAGTTCAGTGGCAAAAGTGACCCTGGGTTCAATCCCTTGTGTGTGTTCAATCATACACATACACACACACACACACACACACACACACACACACACACAGAAAATAGATTATCTACATTTTCTTCTCTACAGGTTTCTAGAGTTTCAAAAATGGTAATCCCAAAATTCAAAGAAAAAGAATTCATTTGTATTAAGCTATAAGGGGACTTAAGAGAGGAAACAAATTATTTAATGTGATTTATTCTGCCTAGACCACATATCCATAGAAATACAGGGACAGCTGGGCATGGTAGCACATGCTTGTAATCCTAGTGGCTTGGGAGGCTGAGACAGGAGGATCAAGAGTTCAAACTTAGCCTCAGCAATTAGCAAGGCCCAAGGCAACTCCCAAGACCCTGTCTTTAAGTAAAACATAAAAAAAGGCTGGGGATGTGGCCTAGTGGTAAAGTGCCCCTGGGTTCAATCCCTGGTACCTGTCCCAATCCCCTCAAAAAAGAAAGAAAATAAATACAGGGACATCAGTTACCACAGAAGAGTGGCACACTCACAAAATTTTAATTATATAAAGCTAATGAAGAACTGTTTCCAAGGAGTGATAGTGGTGTTATTCTGTTTGTGAACTCTGTTATTAGAGTATTTCAAAGAAGGAAAACACAAGAAAAATATCCTGAAGCTCTATACCATGTTTTAAATCTGATCCACAGAGTTATTCCTATTTTTTATCTGTTAAGTCATAAAAAATAAAAAATAAAAAAAGATTTTCACTTAAAAAGAGACTCTACAATTTTTTAAAATAAATACAACTAAATATATCTGAAAAAAAGTACTATTGTGTGTGTGTGTGTTTATTTATGTGTTGAGGGATTTCTAGTTTTATTGATTAGTGTCTTTAACATAACTTCTTTTTCAAGTTATAGGTAGACACAATATCTTTATTTTTATATGGTGCTGAGTATGGAACCTAGCGCTTCACGTATGCTAGGTGAGTGCGCTACCTGAGCCACAACCCCAGCTTCTTAACATAACTTCTTTAGGGAAAAAAAAAAAAAGAACTCTGAGATGATTAAGGCAGGGAAAATACAAGAGACACAGATATACATAGCTGTTTAATTTTTCTTAGAGTGGGGTATTAGGAAGGATCAATTAAGATCGAACTAAGATCCAAACCATAAA